ATGTGGTTGATATCCAAATAATGCACTATCATACTTGAACTAATTTCAAGTAGAAAGGGTGGTTATACAACCTATTCCTCCGTGCCTCCTAATCGATCACAACACAACCATAAACCGCCAAAATCACCAAACTCGACACGGGGACACCACTTCACCACTCGAACTCTTTACAAGACACTAAAACGAAAATTAAGGAAAAGAAAACAAACCTTCGTTGGGTTGCCTCCCAACAAGCGCTAATTTATCGTCATTATCTTGACGGTTGGGGATCAATCACGACTTCAAACGTGATGCCACCGAGAGCGGATCCACCACACTCTCGAGGCGAGGCTTGTAGCCTCCCATCTTAGGTTCCTTGAGTTTGCCCTCTTGGTTGGCCAACATTGCTTCGCCGCCCCCCCCCCCCCCCCCCCCCCCACCCATCTTCCGGGTCAAAGCTCCCTTCATCCTTCTCTTCCAAGCATTCATCCTCAATCTTTTGTGCTTAGAACCCTTCTTAACTTCCTGCTTAACATCATCAAAGACAAAAACAAGTAACGGTGGGGTTTTCCTTAAGAGGCTCTCCTCCACTCTCATTCACATCATTTGAAACTTCTCCTTTCACTTCATCACTCCTAACCCTAGGATCAATTTCAACCTTGATTCTCTCCTTACCATCCCTCAAAATTAGGGTCCCCTCATTAACGTCTATCCATGCTTTTGTGGTTGAAAGAAAGGGACGACCGAGGATGAGGGGCATATCCGAGTCCTCACTTATGTCAAGAATCTCGAAATCGGTCTGATAGCAAAACTTGCCCACTCTCACCATCATGTCCTCCATTATACCTCTCGAGCTAATGACCGAACGGTCGGCTAAGGTGATGCTAAGCTTAGAGGTCTTAAGTTCACCTACTTCTAAATTTTTAAAAAGCTTGTAGGGTATCACATTAACCCTAGCTCATAGGTCCACCAAGGCATTGTCTATATGATGAATGCCAATATCAAGAGGGATAGTAAAGCTACCTGGGTCGGACCGCTTTTTGGGCAAGCGGTCGTAATCCAAATACTCTTCACCAAGAGTCACGTTGGCGAGGCCTTCAAGCCTTGGCTTCTTGATGAGGAATCCCTTGAGGTACTTGGCATATCTTGGCATTTGATCCATGGCTTCGAGGAACCGGATGTTAAGGTGGAGGTTGCGGAGCATTTCCATGAAACCTCCACACTCGTTCTCCAACCTCTCCTTGTACATCCTTGTGGGATAAGGAAGAGGTGGTGTGTATCCATCCACCGGCAAAGCCTTCCTTGCCTCATTCCTCTCATTCCCCGAGGTCTTCCCTTCTCCCTTCTTTGGGTTGGTCACTTTCTTGTTTGTATCTTCCTTCTCCATCACTTCATTAGTGGTGACTTCCGGAATCACCTTCACACTTCTCACTTGAAGTGCATTTACCACGGCATTGTCCTTGGGGTTCACCACGGTTTGGGAAGGTAAAGCTCCCTTGGGTCTCTCGGTGAGGATGCCGGCAAGATTGACGATTTGCACCTCCAAGCTTTGGAGGCTCACTTGATGGCTTCGGATACCCACCTCAACCGAGGTAAACTTGGTAGTCGCCACATCCATAAATTGCTCTATCTTCTCGAACTTTTGGCGACTCGTACTACAAAGGTGTTCACTAGGTCCACAAGCTTAGATAGCTTGTCGGGTTGTTGTTGTTGTTGAAACCCTAGGGCACCTTGGGATAGGTACAGTTGTTGGAAGTTTGAGCCTTGGAGTTGGGGCCTTTGCTGGATGAAGGTCGGCCGAGGTTGGAAATTTCCCGTGGGGCCTCGGATTTGTCGACAATGCCCAAGCAAAGTTGGGGTGGTTCCTCCATCCGGGGTTATAAGTATTACTATATGGGTTGTTGACCCTATCATTTGCCACAAAGTTGACTTGCTCCTCCGGAGTGGTTGCCTCTTTCATTGCTTGACACTCCGCCATTTCATGACAGGTGCTCAAGCACCAGTCACACGACATCACCGGCCTTTTTCCTTGCCTCTTATCTTCAAGCATAACCTCATGCAACTTATCCAACTTCTCACTCTCCTATCATTACTTCTTCTTCCACTTCTAGTCAACTCCCAATCGTATCCCCTAAGGGCCATGTCTTCAAGTATCTCGGTTATTTGGGGTGGAGCCATATTCATCAATTTCCCTTGACACAAGGAGTCAATGTGAATTGTGTCCTCTTGCATTAGGCCTCCGTAGAAGGTTTCGATCCGGAACTATTCCTCAAACCCGTGGTGAGGGAACTAAAGAAAGTAATTGGAGTACCTCTCCCAAGCATCCCTCAAGGTCTCGTCCTCTTCTTGCTCGAAATGTGTAATCTTCTTTCTCCACTCCGCCGTCTTCAAATGCGGGCAATAACGAGCCATAAACTTGTTGAGGAGGTCGTCCCATGAGGTGATAGACCGAGGTGGGCGGTTGTTAGCCACCTAAGTGCCTTCCACGAGAGTGAGTATGTGAAAAGCCTTAGTAGCAAAGCTTCGGCCGGCACACCATTAATTTTCAAGCTCCTCACGAGCTCCAAGAATCTCTGCACGTGCACTCTAGGTGACTCGCTCTCATGGTCGTGGAATAGAGCATTACTTTGTATCATAGTCACTAGAGGTGGCTTGATCTCAATATTGTTTGCCGCCTTGGGGCCATATAGTACCCCATCATCCTCGGGGCATCCTCTTCCTCTGCCGCATGGTTCAACTGGCGGGCTTGAGCGCCATCTTGCCTTTAGTTACCCGCCATTTCCACTTTAATGACGGGTTCAACTTCCACTTCTTCAACTACTTCTCCACTAACACCGGGACCCAAACGTTGTCTCCCTCTTTCCCTCTTTCTTCTTGCCTCCGCTAGCTCTCTCTCTCCCATGCTAGGAGCCAGAGAGTTTGGTTTATGTCCTCGTCAAGTGGTAGTAAAGGTGTCAGGTTGCTCCGGATCATGCACCACCTACACACAGTTGGAAAACACACCAAGTCTAGCACAAGCAAAGCACACACACTTGCAAAACTAGAAATTAAAGGCTAGATTAACAACCAACAACTTTTTCAAGATAACAGACCCTATTTCCCCGACAACAGCGCTAAAAACTTGACTCGCTCGAAACTACACCACAATAAAACCCCAGCTAGAGCCCAAGTTTTTAAACTCTAGTCGGGTGCAGTATAGGGCAAGTATTTAGATATTGACCAGGGCCGGTCCTTCTACCCCTACTTCGGTTGTTGAAATCATTATCTAGGAACAAAGTTTTGGTTTAAAGGTTTGCTAATTGAAATAAAAGAAGGTAAAGGTAAATGGTTTTGGAAACTCTTTTGTGGAAGGATCACTCGGGTGTCGCTTTCCCTTAACTGCTACCATGATATGTATTTTGGAACGATTTCTTTGGGCACGATACTTGCAAACCGCAGAGGGATGCATATATGGTCGGAGACCACAATCTCAATTGCTAAACCGAGGTAAGCATGAAAGGCTGTGTCACTCGACCCTCTCGGTTTAGAGAATCGGTAATTGACTTACTCCCTCACTCAACTCAAAGGTCGGATGGTTTAATTGCAATTAACCAATTTGCTTAAGTCAACATTGAGGTTTGCCCTAACTTAACCTAGTTAGGTGGCTTAGAAAGTGGAATGAAAACCAACTCAATTAAGTCTCCCTTGGAAGGGGGGATTTTCCTGTCTAGGCTAGGCTAAGGTGGATAATTAGATTTCTAGCACCAACATGCACAAAGCTAAGGGTGCTAAGCACAATTATACACAATCCTTAGGTTGCTAAGTACCTAAATGCCCAAACCTAAGGATGCTAAGCACATAACATACACAACCCCTAGGTTGCTAAGCACAAGCATGCACAATCATGATAAATAATGCCTCAATCATTGAATTGAACAATACCCAATAACAATCATCCAATACACATAAAAGAAAACTACATGGTAGAGTTAGGGTTTCACAACACTCAAGTGAAAGGATGTCTACTCCATGCTAGAAGTGGCGAAAACAAAAGGGAAAGAGGTGGAAACCATCTTGGAGGATGCTCCCAGTCTTCTTGGCCCTTGAGTTGAGCTTTCCTTGGAGGAAATCTTCCCAAAATCTTCCTTGAAGCTAAACCCTAGCCTTCTTCTCCCTTTGGTTCGTGTTTCTCTCTCTAAAATGTTGGAGAAGGCTTTTCACACAAAATGGGCTCCCCTTCTCTCCTCCCTTCAGCTCATTATTTAAATCAGAGACGAGCTGAGTCCACGGCCAAAGTTCACGGCCGTGAACCACGAAACGCGTCCGTAAACTTCAGGCGTGCACCAAAATGTGCCGTACCTTTCACTTCTGTTCATGTTCAACTGCCTTTGTTCACGGTCTTAGAGACCATGAACTCACCATGCGTCAGTAACCTTCATTTTGGCTCTGGATGCCTCGCGGTCTTGTATGACCGTGAACTTCCTGGGAAAACCGTGAACTGGCCCTTTTTCACCTATTCTCCCAGTTTTCGATCCTTTTTGCCCAACTTTCGACTATGAGGCTGGTTTCACCTGTTAAATTCTGAAACACACTAAAACACGAGGAACCTACCGTAAAACCAACTGTTAGAAACCTATTTCTAGGGTTCTAACGATCGAGTGATAAGATTGGGAATTGATAGATATTTAGGGATTGAGATAGAATTGGGGAAGAGCAGAATTGAGGATTAGGGATTTAGAAGAGGAAATTGGGGATCGAGTAGAAGAATGGCCGACGGCTTAGGGATAGGTGACGAATTTGAGAGAGATTAGGGTTTGAGATACTTTTCTGAATAATTGTTCTTGCCTGATTATGAATAAAATGCAAAGTACATATTTATAACGAAAGATAGGAAAACCTAATACTAAACCTAATTCTACTAAAAGACTACTAACCATATTTAATAAAACCTAATAATAATGATAATATAGAAACTCGTTTTCCTTAGAAAACGTGTTTCTAACATCCCATCCCCCTTGAGACCAACCTTGCCCTCAAGGTTGATCAGTTCGACCCATTTCTTCAAGCCTACCGTGCAATCCACGTCTTGCCTCCTGCATTCTTGCGCTTTCTTTTCTTCCAATCGTGCTCCACTACTCGAATGAAGCCCACTCCATACAGAAGGGCCAATGTTAAATTGCTCATATAAGGCCCATGAATTGGCCAACGACCCAGATTTGGCTCGGCCATCTTTCTCCCCAACTGCGGCCCACCTTCAGAAATTGGTTCAGCCCACTTCTTTCCCCATTGCAGCCCAGTACTCTGGTCTCCTTGCGGCCTGCTCAACAGATGAAGTCGGCCCAAAACGAGCCCGGTCCGATCGAGCCCTTGCTGCTCAGTGCAACCCTTAGGGTTTGTGAGAGGATAGGAGGAGCCACCTTCCTCCTTCACCTCCATCGATTTCCACGGCGACGAACCATTCCGCCGACGGAATGTCCTACGTGCTACTGAGGCCACCTCCCCGTCGTCCGAAGCAACGGGCGCCGCCGCCACTACCTTCTTCCTCGTTTCTCCCTCCTTCCACGGACGAAACTCCATCTCCGGCGGTGCGTGGGAAAGCTCCCCGCCGTCTTCTATTTGCGGGGTCGGCGACTCTTCGGACAACCCACGACGTCCGATCGCGGCGGGCACCACGGGGCGCCGCTCGGCCCTCTCCTCTCCCGTGCGCGGCGCGGCCTCGACTACCGCGGGGCACTGCTGCTCGGCCCGACCTCCTCCAGCGCGCGGCGCGGTCTCGGCCGACGAAGGGGGGCGCGCGATTGGGGCGGCGCCAGACAGCTCGACCGCCGGCTCTTCGGGCAGCCAACGGCGGCCGATGCGGCGGGCTCTGTCCCGCAATTCTGCCCACGACAGGTTCGAGAGCTTTGAAGAGCTCATCGTCGAACCAGTTGTAGAAATCGTCCCCGGTTGAGAGTTGTGGTGAACTCAATTCTCGAAACCGAGCTCTGATACCAAATGTTAGAAACCTATTTCTAGGGTTCTAACGATCGAGTGATAAGATTGGGAATTGATAGATATTTAGGGATTGAGATAGAATTGGGGAAGAGCAGAATTGAGGATTAGGGATTTAGAAGAGGAAATTGGGGATCGAGGAGAAGAATGGCCGACGGCTTAGGGATAGGTGACGAATTTGAGAGAGATTAGGGTTTGAGATACTTTTCTGAATAATTGTTCTTGCCTGATTATGAATAAAACGCAAAGTACATATTTATAACGAAAGATAGGAAAACCTAATACTAAACCTAATTCTACTAAAAGACTACTAACCATATTTAATAAAACCTAATAATAATGATAATATAGAAACTCGTTTTCCTTAGAAAACGTGTTTCTAACATCAACCTTTTAGGAGTGAGATTAGCACAAACACTTAAGTGAAACGGGGGCAAAACATGTACAATTAGGCCCGAATCAAGCCTTGATCCGACTAAGATCAGACGAGTCAGTGGTCTTAGTTTCTCTATGAATAATGATCAAGTAACGAGAAAATGAAAATAATGATTAATAAATGGTAAACCAGACAGCACTTGGCAAAATCTCAGCCACCTCCTCACATATATAAGTATCAAACTGCCATTTTTGCCACTAGTAACCCAGGTAAAGGTATCTACCAGCTACAGAGAAAGGTAAACCAAATATTTTTGTGTCTGACTAAGAACCAGCATGGTGTAGGAAATTAAGTATACTTGATTCATCAGTTAATCTAACTGTAGTCAAGCTCGCTTGAACCAAAGGACCCTTAAGGTAGAGAAGACCATTGTGATTAGTAGCGTGCTCTTCTTGAGCAAAATTAAGACAAATGGTAGTGAGTTTGGACCATAACATAGACCTACAGTTAAAGTGTATAGAGTCATCCACCGCTGCTGGAAGAAGAGAAGGAAAGAATCCAATTGTGAAAAATGAGAACGGTTCTTATCAAGAAAACAGCTCAGAACCAAGTCAGAAGAAATCACCATCACCCCTACACATCAGAAAGGGACATTCCTCAGGCTAATCACAGGGACATTACTCTAGCGAAGGTATGGTTCTAAAGTTTTTATTCTGTCTACTCAACTTCTAGGTGATTTATAGTGATTAGTATGAGTGATGCAATGCATATACATCAAAAGAGATCTTATGTAGAGAGAGTCAGTATAACAAGGTTTTATGTCAGCTTTGATCATGTGCATACTGGGATGTGTGAGTCATGGCCCGTTGATCTATTTTGGGGTGAAAAGTGCATAAGTTTTTAGAGCTATATATTTCTCTTACTCAATACATTGCCATGGTCAAGACTTCATATGTATGTGGGAGTGTACTAGAAGGTAGAACTTGCTTTTGACTCTACTCTTGCTTAGTATCATCTTTAGATCTTGGTATGAATACCATGCTATAGCTGACCAATGTCTGTCTGCAGTCTGCATTCACTTTTCATAAAAGTACATGATAATAATGTATGATGTCGTAACTGTCAAGTGGGTTCCTAACATATGATCTTAGCGAAACTTGCTCGGGTAAGCATCTCTCACACCTCTCGTGAAAATGAATGATTAATACTGTCTCAGATCTTGTTCCAAAGGGTGTCTAATAGACTGTCATCGATAGGCATAAAACACTTTGGCTAAAATGACTGAGCATCTCATTTACCTTGATTTTAATTTTGAATAAGTGGAACAAGTTCCATTATTGATATAACTATCCCTGCTGAAGTGATCCAAGGTTTTGGAAACAGTTCTCACTCTTAGATAGGATGAACACACCTAATTAGATTAATAAACTTGTTGTCAAGAAAACATATGTCATGGGAAATCTGAAAATTTTAAGTGGGTTGTCGGCATTAGACGTTAGCTCTAGGGGTATTAGAGGAGTTTCATCCTGCATGATGATGTGTAGTACACCAATCAATATGTCAGGGGACATGGGCCTGAGTTTCAGTAGTACAGTACGATATACAAGCATTTTGATATGGAAATTCTGGTCGAGTTGCATTTTGCTTTGCAATAACTGGGTTTGCTTTTCAATCAATTTGAGAGGCAGTTCATGAATGAAAACGTTGCAGAAAATTGGTTCAATATTAAATGTCTCCTATTCATGTTTGCATGATTGACTGGTCCGGCAGTTCAGTATGTTTGTTGTAGGCCTGTTGTGCGGACCTAGAAATTACTATTATCCATGCTGTTGCTGATACATGAGATAGACTCTATGATACTCTGACTAGTTTGTGTTGTGGCGGGAGTTATGTGCTGTCACAGTGACTAAAACAGCCACACTCATATGTTGAGCTGCGTGTGTGTAGGTTAGATGGATCTCGACTCTATAAGTTCTTCTTTGATCAAATCAAGGGGGAGAAAGTGATTACTTGTTCATATATATGTCTCTTGTCAGTATACTGATGTGTGTCATGCATAGCGGTGATTTTTATCAAAGAAGAGGATTATGGTTTTTCAAAATTAAAGCATACTCGTAGGTGGAGCAAGCATTAGACATCATGTTATGTAACGTCGAGTTCAGGGGAAGAATGTTGGAGTTACAACATACACTTAGGGGGAGCATAGCATACATTTATGAGGAGCATATAGTTAGGATCTCAGTTCGGTAACGATTTAGTGATAAGACTTAGGGGAGCAAGCATAAGAGATCATGTTAAATGTTATTGTTGCTAATGTCGAGCTTAGGGGAGAATGTTGGGAGCAAGGTTGTCTCGGTAACGATTTAGTGATAAGACTTAGGGGAGAAAGCATAAGAGATCATGTTAAATGTTATTGTTGCTAATGTCGAGCTTAGGGGAGAATGTTGGGAGCAATGTTGTCAACCCGCGGGTTGACCCGGACCCGGTTGAGCTAGTGGATTAAGGGTTAATGGGTCACCCATTTTAGCCCGGTTTAGCCCGGAAATATGGAAAGCGTCACTATATTGTACTTATCCTGATAAATTATATCAAATCTCATCTAACATATGAGTTATAACATATAATATTACACCAAAATAACATGTCTTACTTAGATTCAACATATAGTGAAAATTCACTCACACTTATATAACATTAATATTCAAATGTTCAACTTAGGATTCCAAAGATTAAGTTAGGCGAAAAGAAAAATCGGAAAATAGGCGCATTTCACAAAACAAAGAAAAAAATGACACAATTTGACCTCCAACCCGGTACCTTGTAGCGGTCGACCCGGTGGGTGCGTGCGGCCCGTTTTTCTCACCGGGTCAGGGTCAAAGTGGGTCGACCCACGGGTTGACAGGAGAAAAAGCTTCTCGTTAGCAAAGCAGTTAGGATGTTTGTATTAGGTACTTAGCCGAGTAACTTTACGAGGTTAAGTTAATCTATTGTTCATCTAACAAAGTGCATGAAATACTACAATAGTAAGTTTATTGTTGTGTTCAGCAAGCTAGCATTGCCATGAGTTAATTATATAAAGTCTGACGATTTGGTTGAGATTGCAGGGAAGGAGAGTTACATTGTTTTGTAGAATGTACGAAGCTAGAATAAAAACTCGCTTGGATACCAAGCTATTTCAACGCAATCTCACAAACTTGTTGCTCAAGTAAATTCACAAAGAATCGCTCTAAGAAGGAAAGGATTCAAAACCAACGACAGAGTGAGAAGATTGAGAAGCAAGAAGAAACTTACCTTTTCCAAGGAGACTCAAAATCTACTCAACAAGGCAAGAAATTCTCAGCTGTAACGGTCTAGTTCGTGAGGCTATAAAAAGAGTCTTAGTGTGATAAGAAGAGGGCAACTTTCAGGGGAAATCATAAAAAAAGCAAGAGAGCTAAGGGTTTCAGCTAGTGGTTTTTTATAGGAAAAGGGGTTTCGACGGTGAGTTAATAGAGGTTACGGTATTGGGGAGATACCAGGTTCTTGATCGACGTGAAGTTGATCAAGGGGATTGGAGTTGATCGATTGGCTGGAGAGCTAATTGAGGGTGTTTCATTTGTATTCGACAAGCATCGGCGACATATTCATTTAGTGAAACATCGGAGAGCGCGGAACGCGTAACTCCGACCGTGGACTAGTCTACGTTGGGATCCTCATTCTCCCAACATTGGAAACCACGTAAAAATATCGGGTGTGCTATTTCATCTCGTTTCGTTGTCTTCTGGGCATGGAACTCTGTTCTTGTGACTTGAAATACAGAGCTACTGTCGATCTGAGGAAGAAGAAAAACAACAGCCAAGTTTTGTAAGTAAAACGCAACACCTCAAGCTTGGATAGCTTTGATTGAAAAAGAAAAAGGCTTGCTGGAAAGTTAGTCAAACGCTGAGTATAAGGTAAACAAATTGGGTTGAATTGCTTGATATATTTGGACCAAACTCTTTAGTTGTAACTTTTAGGCTACGTGTGTGGGCTTAAATAGTATAGTCCAAGTTATATTATTGAATGAAATTAAAATTGTTTGGGCCAAGTTCTCAAGCCCATCACCAGTTCGGCACTTCAAACAAAAACACGCGTTCAGCTGTATCCATTTCGATCAAACATAAGAAATCTCTTGTTCTTTCACTTGTTCTTAGCGAAAGGGTTGGTTGGGTTTCTGCAGGTGTTAAATCAAATGGATTAAGACCCAGAAGAAGGAATAATGCCTCGCGCTCGACGCACCAACAGCGTCTGCGAAAAGCCTTCAGCCATGAAGACGCCATTCCCATTCATTGAGCTCGAACTCATCTTCACCGAGGTTGTTGAACCTGCGTTTACCGATGACCATGCTCTGATACCACGTGTTGGATCGTTGAGCGCGAGACGATTCTACCCGAGATCTACCTTTTTGCTTCTATTCCTTGCCGATTGAAACCCTGCAAAAGCTTTCGACAATCCTTTGGCAAGAACAAGTGAGATCAATGTGTTATAGGGATTTCATCGAATAAAAATGGAAGACTGAAAAACGTTTCTCATTTGACAGCTAG